TCTGGGTTTGCCACAACGCGCACCCATATAATGTTGTGCCCCACCCCACCCAAAACCCCCCATGGGTGGGGGAATTATTGGGGGGTTTTGAGGCCCCACTCAAAGTGGCCAAGTTTGGACAACACTGGATTACAACGACTTGATGGCACATCATTATCATCATCACTTAATATTCTGAAGCTATGCTCAAATGTCATACACTACACAAGTATAACTTGAACAAACAGATTCTTATGAAAATCTCCCCTCCACCACCCTCCCTCAGGCGCTGTTCTTTGAATTTATTTTTGCAGCTTGGGGAAATGCTCCATGGCTCCTAGTATGAAACCTATCAGCACACAAAGCACCCGCTGCCTGGCGTGTCGTCATGTAGGATGAACAAAGGCCTAAAGGACCCATTTTATTCGTCTGCAAAAACCCAAGGTTAGAGGACTTCCGACGCCCTTCTGCAGTGCCGCGCCGGGATAAGCAAAGAAATTAATACGGCGCTGAACGAATGCGCAGTTACTACTGTTCCGCAGCCGCAAACACGGGCCGCGCGCGCTCAGCCCCTGGGAACTTCCAAGTGGCGAAGGCCGCGCGCGCTCCGCGCCTAGGACTCACCGGCAGCCGGAATTCTACGTTCTGCTGCGCGAGCAGCAGCAAGTACTGCCTGTAGCCCGTTTTCGACAACGCCATAGCCCCGGCTCGCGGTCTACAGGCGCCCGTACGCGCGCGCGTGGAGCAGGAGGGGCGGGGCTAGTGCTGGGAAAGGAGGAAACAGGGCCCGAAGGACGAAGAGAGAAGTGCCGGGGCTTGGGAGAAGGGGGTTGTTATTATTGTTACTGATATTAATAGCTGGCAAGGGAGAAGGTGGTGGCTACTATCTCAGCAAAGGCGAAGACGATGAGGATAACTACTACATCCTTACGGACCCTACTGCCGTGCAACTTTTTTTTGGTTGGTAATAATTTGTAATATTTCAATAGATTCGGCTTTAGGACGAGTAAAGAAATAATCGCCGGCAGGGAGAGTTGAGCCCAGTGAGGTTTATAACGTTCTTTGCGGGCTTTCATTGCAACATTTGTTGTTAACAGAGAGCTGCAGCTGGCTGAGAAGCAGACAGCTCGGTGGTTCCTTGCAGCTCGTTGAATTTGTGCCTCGGGGTGGGTGAATCGGTTCATGGCAAAACGGGATCCGCTAAACAGACTTAGAGTCGCCGGCGGTCAGCCTCCGAGCACGTAGTCTGGATTCAAGAAATCACTTGCTTTTGTATGAAAGTAACCGGAAACCATAAATAAAACTTTGAACGGTCGCTCCACCTTAAGAAAGCGTCCGGCCGTGCGAGGAGAGCGCCACCCTTCAGCGAGGATTATTGGGAGGGCTCCTCTGATTGGCCAACTATTTTCAGTCCAAGCAGGACGTTTTTAGCGTTGAAAGCCGCTAAAGGCCAAATGCTGCCGCGCTTCAAAGGCAAGGGTTGACGTCTTTCTTGCAGAGGAATTCCGCAGCGCGTGAAGTAAGTACGAGGAAGCGCAGACTTCATTCTGGTGGTATTAGCTATGCCTAGAACACCTTGCTCAAGGCACGGCGATGCATGTATGTGTTGTGTGCGGAAATAAATAGAAACAGTAAACGTACTTCAGAAAATTGAGGCCGTCCTGCACTCATTTATCTCTAGCGTGTATAATGTCACTTCTATAGAACTGATTTTACAATGTAGGGCTTAGCTGTTTTTTACTTATTTGGGTTGCGCCTGACATGCGAAAAGGCTAGAGAGGGAGTCACAAGGACGAAGCTAGATGTTGTTTTAAATCCTCTTTAAAATGAACTGATGTGGCTCATCGTCCACCACAAGAGTCCGGCAACATCCAGCCAGCCTTGGTCAGTCTCAAAAACCTACACAGCAGTGGATTCGGATGGGACACCCCCCCCCTCAAAAAAAATCCTAGACTGGAAAGGCAAAAAACGCGACGTGGACACATGGTGGTTAATGTGTTGGGCTAGGAGTGGAAAGTCACAGGTTCAAGTCTAACCTCAGCCACTCTCTCTCAGCCCAACGTATCTCATAGCTTTGTTGTGGGGAAAAGTGGAAGGATGCTGCCTTGAGCCTCTGAACAAAATGGAAGAAAATATAACAAACAAATAAATAGCTACCTGTCTACATGGACATGTCTATGAAGTCACCAGGAGCCAAGCTCAATGGGTAGGTGATTTGACTTTACACCTGAAAAGCAGGATCCCTTTGTACACTAGAGCAAGTTCTATTCATTTCAGATTATGGTACAAGCTTTTGTGGGGTGGGAGTTTCATTGGTGAAGGAAACCAGGCAGAGTTTATTTTTTAATGTAAATCATCCCATCTAACTATAACAAGTTGGTTAGTTGTCTTTCTCACTTCATAAAAACGTATGATGAAATTTATGAAAGAAATCAGACTGATGGAACACTCTGCGTAACCTGGCATACTTGTTCTTTGTGTTCAGAAATTTTCTGTGATTCCTTAGATTTCACATTAGTAAAATTTGTTAGAGCTCCTAAAAGATTAACTTCAGTTTTATTTTCACAGAATATCGTGCAATATAGTTTTGGTGGTTTCTATTATAATTATTTTTCTCTTCACATTTTCAAATCCAGACCCCTCCTCTTCCTTATATGCCACCAAACCTGTTTATGGCATGGAGGAAAGCAAAACACAGAATACCAAAGCAGCAAGAAGTTGTCATGGTGCTGTTGGAGAACTTGCAAGAAGTTGGCAGAGCTGGTCCAAGGATCATGTTGACTATCAGCAACGAAACCCATTCAGCAGTGACAACCCAGTAACCGTACGCACTGAGAGAGGGGATCCCACTTATGGGAGACCACCTGAAGGCTCCAAAACTGAGCAGAGAGGAAAACATGCACATGCACACATAGGCAAAGAAGTGGAAGAACTATGCTTGGTTATACGTAGCATTGGAAAGAGAGGGCAAGATGGGCAAGTGAGAATAACATTTAAATGCCTCTTTGATAGGTATGTGACTATATCCAATAAAGTAGTGGGTGTCCTCTTAAGAGCAAGGAAGCATGGTCTGGTTGACTTTGAAGGCGAAATGCTTTGGCAAGGAAAAGATGATAATGTAGTTATCACTTTGCTTGAATAAGATAAAGATTATTCAACGATTGCATGATTAATTCAGAAGTGTATTAAAGCCCTTAAAACATCAAGATGGTTGCTTGGCTTAGGACATAATGAAGCAATTGTCATAAACTGAAAATAAGTTTTAAAAGACTTGATCATTAATTTATGCCTGTGCAGCAAGTAATATGTACTTATTAAAGGACTTCAGTGAACATATAAACCAGAAACATATATAGTAGAAACAAGTGAATACATTTCATGAGACATGGTATTCAAATTGTAAATGCTAATTAAAAAGTTGGAAGTGATAATCTATTGCAGATGTGTAAAAGGGTAATTAAGACTTGTCTGAAATTAGTAATAATACTTTCCACTACATTACAAATTCCATATTTAAGAGCTGGTACCTTCAAACTTATATGCTGAGGAAAAGCCTTCATCTTAGTGGTATACTAGCATTCAGATTATATATTTGACTATGACCCTGGTGTTTGATGAAATGGCAAGCTTCCCTCAGATGCTGAAAAAAATCTAGTAATTTATGGAGTCAATATTCTCAAATGCAGCTGTATCCAAGAATATTCAAGAGGTCTATGGGTAACAATTTTATTAAAGGTTTCCTTTTCATAACACTATTAACCTATAGTATGTTTCACAGTTCCATCACATAAATTATCAGCAGTCTCTTTATATTTGAACACATTAACATTTGAACATGATTAAAAGACAGGTTTTCCCATACCCTTAATGCTAAATGGAATGAGTCTTTTTTCAATAACTTTTACAAGCAGATAGAAGTCATATTAAAATAAATACATGCTAAATTTTGAATAACTAGAATTCAGGTTTAAAATTAAGAATAGAACATGGGTTTCTTTTGGCATACTCTGAGCACTAGTCTACTGCATGCTAAAACACAATGTCAGTAAGTGCTTGCTTGAAATCATTTTGCTGTAAGAGAACTGTGTGAATGCCTGCATATATAATTTAAAAAGTAAGGTTGTGAAAGTCATTTCATGCCAAGTTGGACAGAATCTACGATTTCCTCCTCCTTGATGATTAAACTATAAATTTTAATCCAAGACCCATATTGGGTAATTTGATATTTTATGCTAGACCCTACGTCAAAAAAAACTATTGCATTATTTTAAACTGTTCTGTTACTCCCTAACTACTTTAATACATGCATTTAGATACCGAAGATTATTTAAAACTGTTCACATTCAAGCACACACTCTTACTCTAGTTCAATGTCTCACACTGAAAGTACAGATATGTCATACTCTGGACAATGGCTTGTTAGCCACTCTGTGCCTGTAATCATGTACACTTGAGTGATACAATATAGCACCAAGACAATACTAAAAAGATTGGGAATGTATTGTATAGGCACAAACCTTGCATTAAGACAAAAACAGTCAAAGTCATATACAGTTATTAAATTTCAGTGGCATCTCTCATAAGTTTCAGGGGTTATTTGCATTGGAACAGATAGGTGCTTGTGATCTTATACGTTGTTGCGTTCAGATATTTGCCTGAGAAATTTAATGTACAGTGTTTGCTAACAACTAGTTCAAACACTATATAGCAGCAAAGTAGTTATTTTAAAAAGTCTAGCATGTTATCAACTACATCCAACCCTCTAATCAGTGCTCAAAGGTCAGAAAAATGGTACATTTTAGAGCAGGCTTCTCTCAACTTGTAGTGCTTTCAGCCCTCAGCCGTTCCATCAGCTGCTCAGCCTGTTTAAGAGGAAATGCACATGGCTTATTAGTACCTTCCAGAAATTATACTGTATCATTTTGAAGGCCATAAGATTGTTCCAAAACACATTTACAAAACAGAAAATCCATTGGGGCAACCAGGAATGGACTAATTCATATAATTAAGCAGAATTCACTGGGCTTAATCCAGATTCCTACACAATGGATGAAGGAACATTCATGTACAAGCAGACATTTTAGGGCAGGGGCCACCAACCCTTTTCAGGCCTTGCTGCTTCTCTTCCCTAGTCATGGGATCCTTATGAGATTGCTGAATCTCTTGGAATTTCAGACAAAAGCATAAGAGTTGGTGATCTTGCAAATTTTGCCTTTAAAAAACATTCAACCCTGGTATTTTTCAAGAGTCCATTTTTGGAGAATGTATTCACATGTATTACATTATTAATCTTGCTAAAGGAAATCAGGTTACAGACTTACCACATTATCACCAAATGTTCTCTGAAAGAACTTGCAAGAATTAATTGAAATTAGGAACTTGTTTCAATTTCTAGGGTAGATGAGAAATAGTGTGGACTCCAAACAAATGAAAGGGTTAAAAGCAGAATTTAGTTCTGCTACTGGAAGCACTCAGTGCTGATTTCTGCTGCCCTGACTATCAAAAGGATAGCTGATTACATTGTCCTCTCCATTGGCTAGAATCATTTCCTGTGCTCTTCTAGAAAGTCATCCTATATAGAGAAGATTCTTAAAGACACAGAGGAGCACTTGTGGGATTGGGAAATGGCACATTTTCCCTAATTCACAGATGAAAATTTTCTACTGAATCAAAAGTTTTTTGCAAGTGAAATTTGCTCTTTTGTTTGATGGAAACACATATGGATTTAAAAGAACATGTTTCTTCCTTCACATTTTTAGGGTAATTTATTTTTCTGAATGACCTTTCTTCAGTAAGAACCACAGATAGCTAATGCTGATCAAGTTCAATGTTGGTACATTTTAGAACTGCATTTTGTGGAATGCTGATATGCTGTGACAGTGTTTTGTTCGCTTTAAATTTTACATTTGAGAACCTTATTTATTTCGAAAAATTTAACTTTTCTAAAGCAAAAGGGCTATTTTGGATGCAATAACTCTTGATTTTTTTTCTTGACATTCATGCCTAGTGAGACTTTATTTTCCTTTCACTATTTCAGTTTTTAAACAAATTCTTCTAAGCTAAGTTATCATGTGTCTGATTTATTCCTCCAGCAATATCACAATAGTTTAGAGAAAATAATTTAGCATTTTGCTATACGAATTACCATTTTAGCCTTATACACTCCAAGTTAGTCGAATAGATTGCTCTCCATTACTGTCTGTTAGGTTACATTTTAGTATGCTGCATCAAACCAATTAAGATTTATTTTTTATGTAAAATCTGAGTCATTTGTTAATAATTCATATCTTTATTTCCTGCTGGGACTCTAACAGATATTTGGCTGGAATAGGATATTTAAATATGAATTAAGGGTATGAGATTGAGCACACTGGCTTAACCTCACAGAGTCAGGTGTATTCTGGCACTGCCTCAGTTACAATGAACAACAGGGTCTGAAAGAAGGATGGGGGTAATTTCAATCTCAAATTTAGTAAATCCTCAATTTAAAGGTCTTTGGCTGCAACAGACCATTTTTTTCTGGCCAGATTCCAACCCCCCCCCCCCATTTAATGGATTAGTGGCTGTTAAATCAAAGTTTTCTCCAAATGACTCCATTTATATCAAATACTTAATTACACAAATGTTGTAAATTGATGCAAATGACATAAATTCAGATTTAGCAGACATCCCCTCCCCAAACGCTCCATTAAATTAAGATTTTACTGTATAAACCTTTTTCAGAGTTGGCTGCTTAACATGAGAAAACTGGGGGGAATGAGGCAGAGCCAGCATGCATAGGCCATGCATCTCTTACATACTGTACATCTGTCTTGTTAAAGAAAAACACCTAAACAAATGGTGGATTAAATGTAGGTTGCAACTTTATCCGTGGTTACCTGGACTTAATTTTGAATCGCTGTGGTTAAAAATATGCTAGTAAAATATAAGCAATTATCAAATAGCCATTGATAAACTGATGGGGATACTTTAGATGTAATTCAATGGGAAGTACTAAGTCAAATGGAATTATAATTAGCAGAGCTCTACAGTGTTTGGAATTGAAGGGGGAAAGGTGCTTCCTACTGCATATGCTGCATTTGTCAGCAGCTCTTTTCTAGAATCGGGCTGCAATTGTGGACAGTAGTCATATTATCTCAGGAAAAGACACGGCTGCTTTAAAGATAGAGGCTACATGAACACTGCACATTTCAAAATACATTTTCCCCTTCAAAACAATGCACAACCCTAGTAATTAGGTACAAGAATAAGATAAATTTACAATATTCTTCAGGAGCACAAATCTGGAATAGCATAGGTGTACTGGGTTCATAAAGGATGACAATTCAGTTCCAGTGAGAACTGTAAATGAAATATTTCATGTAGCATTATCTTCAAGTATCCATTAATGAACAGTGTGTGTGTGTGGGGGGGGGGGGGGCGCGGAGATTTATCATGAAACGGTTTGACAGCTTTTTCTAACAGCAGCAGTAAAAGTCATTAAATTAATAGTGAAATACTTACTGTGATAAACCAGTAGGAATTGATTCGGTATATCATTCGGGACAAGAATCCCAATTGACTAGCTGGAGCCAGGACATGAAGGTGCAAGTGAGATATAGAGCAGAATGGAGGCCAGTGAAAGCCCATCCTGGAAAAACAGAAGCGGCAGCAACAATTCAGATGCATAAAACAAGGGTCCAGGATCCTATGATCGAGGCACACTGATCCATAAAGATCTGAACCTTTGCAGCACTTGACAGCTTCACTAGGAAATTCTATTCAGTCACTCATGTTTTTCACAAGGGCTAAATTATTTACCCTGTTCCATGCAACAAACTAGCTCTTTCCAAATTTTTTGTAGTCTACAGCACTTTACAGAAATTACTCATAGTAATATTTGCTGCAATTTCTTTTCATTTGGACTTGCACAGGAAAGCTGGTGTTTGCTTTTGCTGACCAAAGATCAGTGAAGACAAGACTTACAGTTTAGCAAGAACAGTCAGGGCACCATGATGCATATCTGTTTTGGCAAGCAGAAAGAGCATCCTTTATCCAACTCCTCCATTAGTTTCCATAGTGGATACAGAAGGGGGATCATGAGGTAAGTTGCTTCTCTTGTACCTCATGAGTTGCCATGGCTACCTGGCAGATACTTAAACACAAATCTGTAAAGGAGTTGGCTTCTTAGTGCACTTGACTTCTGATACTCAATTAGTGCTAGTTTTTCTTATAAAATGTTTTCAATGATGCTTTCAAGCAAGGCCTTTGAAAGCATCTGAAGATGTAAAACATTTGCCTTCTGGAGACTGGATTATCATGAGGCATGTCTGTGTACTCTCCTAATACCAAATTCAATGGAGCTCCAATAGTAGTTCCTATAATGCAATCATACAGCCTTGCTATTTATGTAATAGCATAGTAATGAGCTATATTACATTTTTTCTTTCTTTCTGGAAATGTACCTTATATCATCCAAGTCAGTGCACTTACTCCGCTGAAGAATAGCTTTTCCAGCTGCCATCATTCTTTCCACTGTCAAAATGGATCAGAGAGAAAAGAAGAGGGAGGAAAATCAGATTTCTGAAGTTCAGCAACTCAGTGCTAAAGATTTGTATTTCTAAATCCTGTTTAACTTCCCTGAGATTTATTCTTAAATAAACCCGCCTTAGATTCTGAGGACACCTAAAATAATGGATCTGTGCTTTTAACGTGTCGCAAATTATTTTGTTTATATGTGTATTTGTACCCAAGTACACATTAATCAACCTTCATTAAAAGGATTCTTGAGAAGTTTGTAAAAGTTTAAATAAAACTATTCATGCAAATACGTATCTATTATGAAAAGAAATAAGAGAATCCTGAAATCCAATTAAGCAGAATAAAAGCAAGTTAAAATTTGAAAGAAAGTGTATCTTTAACTAGGTGTGGAAAAAATGCAGGGGCAACATTAATATATCCTTGGGGTAAGGGTGGGAAGCATGCTTAAATGTGGGTACCCACAAAAAAGACCCCATACTTTAAAAAGCTTATGTGTACCCAGATACTACTCAACATGATGTGATTTACTAATGTGTGTGAGCCCAGCCAGACTCTACAGAGGAGGTGCACATATGGTGGCTCACAACAAACTCCACTGGTGTCAACTAGGCTTTTTGTCCCATCTGACTTTATATTATCAGAGAGTCTTTTAATTTAAAAACTGAGTAGAAAGATAGCATTCTGCAAAGTACTTGCCTTTAGCACTATACTTATTTACATGGATGCTTTTGGGCCTCACAACAGTCCTATTGATACGGTGGAGAATATTTAGAAGAATCATTTTAGCTCCTAATAAATGAATATTTTGTGATTTGCCATGCTCCTCATTGCAGCAATTCTATGAGTGAAGCTACCTTATGCTCCCATCAGTCCAAATGTGTCTCTAGCTCCAAAAGGGTTCTCCTCAATCCCTAAAAATTAAATACTTGCAACCACACCACCCACTGGGTGTGTGTGTGTGTCTTGGTTAGCAATTATAAGGGGACGATTGTTAATACTTGGGAAAACATTCAACTCTGAATTCTCCTGATACTGGTATCTAATCTTGCCCTTAACCCACTCATAAATGTACAGAGCTTTAAACCAATAATATCAGTTTTAGATTGGTTATGTACCATCAAGTCAGTGTTGATTCTTAGCTACCACATAGATTGTGCCCTTTCTCTGTGCCAATATTAAGAGAGGCAACTCTCCACTTACCTAATGATATATGCTCACTCTTAAGAGTCTTGCAATTTCCAATGTGGTTCTTTGGTACCACTAAATAATGATGAGGAGCTCCTGGTCTGATATCTCGGAAGCATACCAAATCTTCATGCTAATGGAATATTTGAAAAAGAATGTGTTATTGAAATTGCCCTACTGACAAACCGCGAGCCATGAAAGAAACAGCTTTGTTGGCAGCTACTGGAGATATCATTCCTCATGAGAAGATGCAGATGTCGATCCAGTATATACTTTCCCATTTGCAATATTCATGAAATATTTTTCCTTAAATTGGTTCTCAAGTGAACAGACAGCTAGGGTTTTAGCATAGCATTGGCACTCCCATTTGGATAGAACTATTTTTTTAGATTAAAGTATATCAACAGCACAGCAACAACTGACAACATCTGAAGGCTTATAACAGAAGAGAATATCTGTAGCTTAGAGTTGAACTGAATTACCCAACTAGGTAACATCATCAGTGCGAGTGAGTGCAGGGTTTGCTGCCGGTTTATATGCAGTAGCTTGCCCTGCCAGTTTTGGTGGGGGTGTAATTTCCTCCTTGCAAGGAATTGATTATTTTACCTAGTTGGGTAATGAGATGACTGCAAGCAAACGAGTTCAGAGAGCACCAAAAGCTCCATTAAAGGCTTATATTTTGAGCTGCATCATGACATGTTTCAACAGCATCAGCAAGTCTGACTTGTTCATTAATATTCATTCACCCTAGCTCAACAGACAGGCAAAAGAGGTAGAAGTCAAAATGATTGACAGATGGCTGCATTAAGAAATGTAAGGAAACGAGGACAACACATTCCTAAGTTGCAAGTCAGCTGATGTGAAAAAACAGGAAGAAATGACAAGACAGTCAGAAGCAGAAATTTGTTAGCACAAATGAATCATGTTTTCATGCCTAAATTTCACCTCTTTGAGGATATTAGCTACCATATACCAGATATTGTGTGAAACTGTAATATAAAAAGCACTAACATTATTCAATGCTATTAATCTCTGTCTCTGTCCCTATATATATATATATATATATATATATATATATA